TTCACACACATAACTGCTACCGGTTTCCCAACAATTTTCGCGCCAGGATTCGTGGAAAAACACCACCGAAATTCTTTAAAAAGACAATCCAGTTTCAGTCATTCTTTATTGATTATTAAGGATAATGAATGCACCACCCATATTTTTCGCCCAAATTACAGATAAGTGACTTAGGCGGAGGCATCCCACATTCGCAAATGGATCTCGTCTTCAACTACACTTACACTACAGCCCACGGGAAAGACCGCCGACCTCCTGGCGAAAGTGCATCAAGTGATCTGGACACTAATGCACCTATGGCTGGCTATGGTTACGGATTGCCACTTAGTCGACTGTATGCCAGATATTTCAACGGTGACTTGATACTGACGAGTGTCGAAGGGTACGGAACAGATGCCATTGTCTATCTCAAACGAAACGCAGCTGAAGCTGATGAGATAATTCCCATTTTTAACCGAACGTCCGCAAGGCAATACGAGATATCGGGCGTGCCTGTTGCAGATTGGTCGAATCCGCAGTTCACAACAGGTTGGCGAAGAACTTAGGCCAGCCATTGTTTCAGTGTTTTCCGGTGTCACAAAGGCATCTCCCTTATTTCTGTTCAATGTAACCATTTATCCTGTAAGGATTCGCAGTGGTCCGCCCAAGGCTTGCGGCTGTGTCTCTATACTCCTCTCTCCGGCATTACAAACGTCCCACTTTCATCAACCTGTTCAATCCTAGTTCAAGTTCTACTCATGGTTTGATTTTGTTATATATCTGCCCCTCCTATCACCCACTGTTAAGTTATTTTCATCTCTGTTTATTCCCTGCCCCCAGTCTCTTGAGATCGTTATCGTTTCTTTTTTGTATCATTCATCCTAGATTACCTGCTTATTTCCTTTATATTAGGTGCCATGTCGTTTGATAAATACCTTTCATCCAAATCGTCATATTTGCTCTTCTGCAAGAACCAATGTGATGGATTTTTGGTCTTTCTAGGAAGTCCTATCAGATAGTACTTGCGTTCAATATTTTCCCCTCTAAACCGAATAGGCCGATTTGGAGTTATACGTTCACTTGCAAATTAGAGTATTGTTATCGGGATACCCGGATGCATCCCTCGTTCTTGTGACGTTCTTCTAGCGTTAAGGTACGTACGAGAACTAGACCCACTGGTTAAAAACGGTAGAGGGCTGTCCAGGATTTTTATCGATCTTATGAGTATTGTCACTTCACTATAAGAACAATGTTTCCCACCTGATCTGCTTCATTTCCGAATCGATCTGCAACTAATCAAGCCCTCCCTCCATTTCAAAAATTGTCAGAAATACAAGTAGGTAAAGATGTCTATATTTCAAGGCTCCCCAGTTCAATGCGTAGCTCGTAAGAAGTTTTTTACCGTTCTAGTATGACTACAATTGCGCTCAGATGTTCAGACTTACCCTGGGATTTGGCGTGAAACATTCGGGGATCTCGGTAATAACTGCGAAACTAGCAACTTCGGGTTTAGAACAGAGTGGTGAATGTTGCTGTCATTGTTTGAACAAAATCGTCTTCCGAAAACCCACCATTTGTCCATCTAAGGAAGTTACCTTCTAGCTCCCGAAATTGCAGTAATAATTATGTAAATAATTACTCGGCTGCCCTGCCACCCGAAGGAAGCGCGAGGACTGGGAGACCGCCAGGTTGCCCAAGCGTAAACAGAATCAGTCGAGTCACAGACCTTTTGGTCTTGGTCTCCGGTGCCGAATGTAAACAGCGTAGATAAATTAATATGAGTGCCTTGCATGTGAGGGTGACGGCAGGGTCGAGATGCCTAGGTTGGGTTCGAACAGTGGCCCTTCGGTTAGTAAGTTCGCACCATAACCGCAGCTATCTCGACCTCCAATATAATATTGCAGAAGTAAGCGCAACCGTATATGAATTCACTGAGTGGAGAGACCCAAATGCAACAGCCCCCTTTGACTAGACCTTTTGTGAGGCAGTAATGTTGAACAGGCTTGGGGGACATCATCTTAAGCCGTGAAAACCGCCTACTTGTCATACAGTGCTTACAGCTGCCATAGTTTCGTTCACTGACGATTTGGGGAGGGGAGGTAGATAGCTACGCATTGGTGCTTCAATACAAGAGTATCAGTGGACTTTTCGTCGGGGAATATCAAAAGGGGAAGCTATGTATTACCTGTGACAACTCGGATGCACGCGCGCGACTGAGCGATGTCTCACTGTCTCCAACAATTGACGTGTGCCAAGGAGACTCCAATGATTAGCGCAGGTGAGTTTGCTGGTGAGGACTTTCCAACTTATTTTCAATCAATTGGAAAAGGTTTGGAACCGATTGAGAAGTCATCGTTTCAGAAGAGCTTGATAAACAATCGGTAGTTTTTATTTGAGCAACGTTTCGCTTTTGACACAGAAGCTTCATCAGGCCAAGTGAGCAGGTCACCAAATTGGCCAGGTTATAAGGCAGANNNNATCGGTAGTTTTTATTTGGGCAACGTTTCGCTTTTGACACAAAAGCTTCATCAGGCCAAGTGAGCAGGTCACCAAATTAGCCAGGTTATAAGGCAGACGGGGAACCTATCAGTAAGTCAATCCTCTTCGGATTTTCACACTAGATCCGTGTTGAGTGTCAATTAATGGCTCTTATCGGTTAGTGAATTTGTCAAAATCTTGCTTTGGTGGATTGGGGGGGGGGGCTGAAATTAATTCCGATCGGGTTTGGTTCATTAATCCTCCACTTCAGGGTTCTTCAGTTGATTATTCAACTCGGTTGCCATTGGCTGATTTTTTCTGGTCTTTGTGGGGTCGTGAGTGCTCCGACAGTTTGGTTTGAGGGGGTTGAGGTCAAGTGGACTTCAGGTGATGACTACTCTTCCTTCTGATGACCGCACACCAACACGTGTCAGCTCGGCTGATCCAGAACCGTCCTCCACACGCTTGCCAGTCCCGCACCTTCTATTCTATTGACAGTGGGGTGCTTGGCGATTTCTACTGCCTCGGCGATCAGTCTGTGTGGCGTGGACCGTAGTCCTCACCTCAAAACCTCAACATTTTCTAAATCTATTTTGTGTTTACATAGGTTTACATAGGACAGACGGCCAGGGAACTACACATCAAAGTCGGAGAGCATAGGAGAAAAATAAACAGGCCGCCGAGAAACGCAGATGAATATCATGCGTTACTGAAAGACTCGGCAATTGCGGAACACGCACTCGAGGAAGCCGCTCAAGTGGCGTAGAAAGCACGGACCAAGTCAGCGCAACCTACGGGACACTTTCAGGTCCTCAAGATGAATTATGTACTTGTCAAACATGTAACAATGGGATGTCTGATATTACTGCCACAAACTTATAAGTTGACAATCACTTCAAAGAGATTGTGTCGAATAAACACCTGGTACATCAACCTACCACAGTAAACTTCTTTTGACTTGGGTGATAATTTGTCTTTGCCTACGAATGATGACCCGTTAGAAGATTCCATGGTTCAAATACCTATTGTTAATAATGCAACTGAAGTGCAGAGAGGAACGACACACCGTAATTCTTTGTTTACCGAGTTTCTAATGACCATTTCTTTGGGTGCCATATATAAAAATGAGCCCTCTTGGTAACTTGTATTATGATTCTGAAGAAACTACCAGTTCCTGTATGATCCGTATACAACATAATGACGTCTTAGGTGTTGTACATGGAACACAACATGGCAAGAACAAATTATTCACCAGCTGAATATTAAATCTAAAAAATACATGAACACTAAAGACCTTGACATTTGGTCGGACAGTGATTCATGAGTGGAGCCAGTTGGTTCATCTGACCAGCTCGTGACCGTGTGGACCTACGCACTGTGTGTGTAGCAGAGACGCCTGTAGAGCGGAAGGAGTAAACACGATCAAAGATGAAGAGATGCAGGGATTTGTAAAATTCGCATCCACGTCACTCGTTTGAGCTGTCCTCTTCATCAATGCGCATTCTTGGCCTGTACTATTGATAAGCCCCACTAAGAGTGAAACTCGAATCCAGTTCTTCTTCCTTTAGGGCTGACTCACTAGAACAATTTCACCAAGACATCAGGAGGACTGTTCAAACAGGAGTGATATGAATGCGAAAAGAACAGGACATCATATTGCGTTATTGAGTGAGAGTGCGCAAGAGTATTATATAGGTGTAGTATCCACCTCAAACGCAGTGAAGCACTTCAGTCCTCATTAATTCTGCTGAAAAACACTTGGATACAAACGAAACGTAATTCATCTCACCCAGAACGTACGCTTTACAGCCCTTGTGGATTATCCTGCACCGAGCAGTGCTGCGTTAAACTCTCAGGGTCTGAATTTGATCCCGCCAGTGAGAAATATGGCGCCAATGCCTGTGATGTAGTATTTAGATGATTTTTTGTGACAATGGTATACATGCTTTCATTCTCATCGGTGTCGCCAAAAGTTTGTTTGTGCGCAAGTAGACTAGGAGAAATTCGTGAGGAACAATGCCCATAAGCTAACCGTCAGTCTTCGACAGCCGAATACTAGTTTCGTCCTTCTCTGGACTCATCGGTAGGCACAGTCCATCAGTTTCCGTCAAACTTGGGTTCCATTTGAGGCCAAACTGGAGGGAAACCCTGCGTACAAATAGCCAGTCAAAACTGAATACCAATGGTTTTGTTCAGCCTTAGTAACTTTGGGAGGACGCGAGACGTCAATAATTAGGAAGTGTCTTACCACACTGACCTTTGTATTATTAAACTAAGTATGTTACTGAAAGCTTTTCTAGCAAGTCTACCGAGTAACAAAGTCCACATCCACCAAGAATGCAAAACCCGTATTTCGTTGTGACAGGCCTGCAGTCCGCATTCACTGACCGGCCAGTTGATGTGGTGTCCCTTTGAGATGGAATGTGATTTCCTATCCTACTTGAATTAATGACTCCTACTCAGTCAGTATTCACGGTGGAGCTCCAGTGTGTGCTTGCCATAAAATCGTATTTTGTGATTGACAAACAAACGAAAGCCCTATGGCCACCAATGTCCCAATGGATCACCGATCGGGTATAACCAGCTGAAAAGAGCGAAGAGAGACGTAGCAAAAGCTACGAAAATTGATGCAGTTATCACTGTTATATACTCATGATCGAGGACGTAAGTCCTAAAGGATGTGGCCGTTCTGGTGTCGCACGGTAAACACAGCAAGGCCAGTGTTATCGTTTCTGGTTTAGCTTAGGATGTGGTGAACCTATCCGGGTAACAGATGGTGCTCAGTATCTTGCAATAAACCTCCTAGTTGATGGGAAGTGCAGATATCAGGTATTCATTTGGAACCTACCATGTTTTGACAACACCACCTTTCGATAGCCAACCAGAAGAACGGTCTCAGGTGACTTGACGAGTATGACCGTTTGGACAACTATACGGGTCTGGAACAGAATTCATACGGCTTTGAATAGGCAGACAGGGATTTCTGTCTACTATGTTGACGCTTCCTTCTCATATCTGATTAGCTGTGGCCAACAATATATCGACAGCATAGCAATGTACTCTCCCGCGTACCTGCAGACTCAAGCATGGTTGTAAATTACCATACCGGGCGGAAGTGAGAACTGGTTTTCCAGCATTTCTCCTAAACAGGACACGCAGATATATCGGCCATACATACGTGAGCTTTTTTTACCCTGTGAAATAATAACCCTATCAAGCCTGAATTTTATCATCACGTTCGGTGCTCAGTCTTCGTTACGATCCACTTTATCTGTAAACGCTGTGTTTCTACCTTCCTACTGGATGCAATAATTTGAATGTCAGCAACTCGACATTTGTTTCTTCTCGCTGCTCTAATGAGGTGAACCGAGCATTTAGTTTCTTGCTCCGCATCTTCACCTATTCTCCCGAGTGAGCTATTCAAATGCGTGATTTTATGTTGCTTTTTTTCTCGGACCTAATTTCGTTTGGAAG